CCTTTCACACTTTTTTTATTCTTGCGCTTATCGGTTCTATCACACTTTATACACATGTACTACATTACCTCTTACACTACGAAATTTACCCCACTCTGTTCTATCCAACATGACCGACGGGTGGTATGGAATATTAATAAAAATGAAAAAAAAACGTGGCGGACGTTTAACAGGCAAAATCAACAAACATTAATCAAATATAATTTAATTTCGAAATACGAAGAAAAAATAAAGTAATCAAATAAAAATAATTATTTATCAAAACTAGGGCTAACTTTATTTAAGCTTAAAGAAGGAACTTTGTATTCACATTGGGTCATTTTTATACATCACAGCGAATTTTCGGTTGTTGATTTGCTGAATAGAAGAAGAAGAAGAAGAAAAAAGATTACAGAAAAGTGTTTAAGAGAAACCTTCAATAAACAAATTTTTTTTAATTTATTCTTTTTTTAAATACTCTCTTAGTAACACCAGCACTCACCTGTAAATAATTTCTTGTGAAATTGCAGCCACAAGCAAGCTGTGCTTTGTATTTTCAACGATTATATTAAGAGTAATTTTTGCTCAACGTCCGTGAATGGATTCATAAGTTGAATAGCATCATAGGTTCATAAGGATAACGTAGCGTAAATGCCTATGAACGTTGATTTCCATATGTGCACATTTACGTGCGTGCACATCATTAAGGACTTACGCCCGGATTGATGTCATTTATCGTGTTTCGCTGTCACTTAATGTGTGAATAGATATTGCAAATTTGTTACAAATCAAATCGATTGAATGTGTGCATCTGTTTAGAATTGCCATTGATGATGTATGGGTGACAGCTAAATTTTGTACGTAATTTCAAATGCGTTATATCCAATGCGAAACGTATCTCCTACCGGTCCACTAATGATGTTAAACATTGTTGTATGCATGAAACGCGTCTTTAAAACTACATTCTTACACATAAAAACATTTGTGTTGCTATGTTACGTTATAGTTATATAGTATAACCTACGTGTACGCGTTCGTCTGTGCGGATTGTTTATGTTTTCCATATCGTAACCGTTTAGCATTGATTTATTTCGTTGCCTTTTCGATATTTTCACCTATGCAAAAATATAAAATTGATGCAAATCTAAATGACAGTTGACTGATGAATGTTTAATTTAAATTCCGTACAAAATTGAAACACGAATGAATTCGAAAACGTTTAACATTCGAAAATATTCTGACACGCTAAAGAGAATCATTTAATGCAAAAATTAAGCAAAACTGGATACTTTTTTTTAGCTTTTCATACTTTACACCACTTGTGATACACTGCATATTAAGTTTGCACAGATGTATATTACATTCAGAAGCGCTTAAGATAGACACAACTTTTATTGTACCGCATCATTGAAAACCTTACCGATAGAAACTTGTCTATCCGTTTGTTTGTCTGATCTTAGGTTGAATATTGGTTGAAATGTGTTGATGTCATTGGCAAATTATTAGCAGAGAATGAATTCTCTTAAAAATGGGGATGTCTATTACGGCCTCTAATATGGCAAAACAATTATATGAAAAAAAAATGCTGTGGAACAATTGATGTGGAAAACTTGAAAACTGGTCAGCAGTAGTAAATTGATATAAAAAATAATTGTGTTATCTTTCAACCAGCTCTACCAGGAACCACCTCTTATAAGGGTTCTCATGGAAAATGAGCTGTTACAAGGCAACAAATTTATAATATATAAATTAAAATTAAAAAAAAAAATAATTTTGCATACATTATAAGGAAAATTATGAAGAATAATAAAATTTCGGAAAATTCAAATTAGAAAATTAATTCGCTCCCTTATTATATCCCTCTCAAGAGAAGAATCCCCTTATGGGAAGCAGATACGGTTGTAGGGTATTAATATTGCTGCCACTTTAGTGTTTATCCACCTTTTGAACCAACACTATTGCAAGGGCCATCTCTTTACTTGGGTAAAAGATACTATTTTCGACAAGTTATTACGAAAATAACAAAGGTATTCAATTACGCAATATGGTATATGACATTTAATGTTCGACCTTGCTCGAATATAATTTTTGTGCTTGTTTTACGATCCGTTGTTTATATGGGCACACAAGTGAGAAAGCTCTCTGATGAAAATGTTGAATGCATAACATAGCGGCGAAAAATGTTTACGAAATACTAAAGTCAACTGATTAGTTGATTTTTTAAGAAATATTAAGGCGTAAGAGCGCTACCGAGAGACTAGCGAGACGTATATATTACATTTTAGCAAAGTCAAAGCTATAATTTTTCCTTGTTACCCAGAAGCGAGGATAGTTGCATCTATTTTCTCGAATTTCCAGTCACGGAGCTCTGTTTTGTGCATACGTTTTTCTTCTTCTTCTAAAGCTTTTAATAACAATTATAAGTCATCTAAACAATTTTTTTTAGAGTTGGTTTCGATTACTAATACTTTTAAAATGAGAACATTTTTTCATTTTTGTCTCTTAGCCTCAATGTTAAGGTCAGCCGATCCGCCTAAGTAGCCGGAGGCGAGGAATTTCGACTAGCAAGGCAATGGTCGTGGGTTCGAATCTCAAGTGCGGTAGAGTTTTTAGTAAAAAAAAAAAAAAAAGCCGATAGCCTTAGATGCTAGTGCTTTTAAGAGTTTAATCTTAGAATTTATTTTTCTGGCGAAATTAATAATAATAATGATAATAAGTTCAGCCGATACGATGCAGCAGCTGCTTTTGTTGTCGGGTTAAGGCTTAATAAATAAATTTCGTTAAGGCACTAGTTTGCCGATGAATTTCCTTTTGGCCTGAATTTTCTCAAGATGCAGTTTAAAAATATCATTTTTAGCATTACATTTGTTTTTAACAATCTTTACTTTATTACAAATCCAGATCAGATCAAAAGTTTACCCGAAACATCGCCAATCACATGATCTCTATCGTAAGCGAATTCCCTGCGGTTAGTTATGGGGAAAAACGATCGTTGAACGATCAGTTCACAGTGAAATATCTTTCATTTTGTTTTATAAAATATGCCCTAAAATGCTTACTTAACAAGGATGTCGTTATTGTTGTTGCTTTGTTTGTTGTTTTTTTTTTTTGTTGTTGTCGTTACTGTGGTATTTAAACGTGTGCACGACAAAAATAATAGAAACCCACTAAGCAATGCACTCATTCCACCGGAAATTGACTTTGTAAATGGTACAAAAAGAAACATCTCTGCGGTAATGTAAACAAAACTAACCAACACAAACACAGTGATAATATCAACACGTAATGTTCACTGGGGGATAACGATGATGAAGATGACGTTTCTGATGAGGGCTATAATCATCATTTACAAAATGCAAGGGAAATTATTGTTATGAGATTATTTTATACGAATCACTGACTGGAAAGTAAGCGACAACTTTGGCTCAAAATTGCACAAACATATGTTGAAATATTTCATGTCAAATATGCATTTTATCTTTAGTTTAGCATAAGAAACGGGAATTTTATTTACGCTGCATTAAAATAAAAATCTACCATATTTTATGGTTTAAATTTCAAAAATAACCTGCAAGTACTTAGCATTTAGTACTTAGCATTTAGTACTTAGTATTTAGAACTTGACATCTACGATGAAAGATTTTTCAATTAAAATGCAGACAGACTTTTATTATGCGGGGCCAAAAACCGCAAAGACGTCTTCGACCAAATATTTTACTAATCGCTACCAGATTTGATATGTCGAGCATATATCGAACAGGACATATATTTCAAATAATTTTTTGTATGTTTCAGGCGCACTTCTGAAGAAACTGCGCAAATTAATGACCATATTTACACCACATACTAAGCTTATCTTAGAGTGCTTTCAAACCCTGTATGGGCTAGCAAAGTTCAATGAGAGGGGTGACTGCGTAGCCGTAATGTAGAGTAACGGCTTATTAAGAGCTTGTTAAATCTTCTAACATAGCACGCAAGCTCTTGGTACTAGGAAAAACTACATATGTCTAGTAATTGGCTTCTAAACGGGTCACGGGGTGGAAACATCTCATCCCGTGTGACTGAGCAGCCGTCTGCTGAGTCAAATGTTTGGCAGACATTTCGTAAACCCGAACACCCTATGGCACTCCCAGCCTAAGAAGATGGCGGGATACATAAGAATCCTATAACTGGACGGCTACGGGCATGGATGAATGCAACAGATCTTTTTAGGCCGCTTTAGAGGTTTGATACTATTTTATAATACAGTATAAGATAGTATTTTAGAAAATCGGTTGAATTTGCAAAGTTGATACTGCAACATTTGGCGTTTCCGTGGACGCAATCTTGACGGTTTTTGAACTTATCTTGGTGAAAATAACAATGAAGCACTTGAAAACAAGTTTTTCCAGCAAAGGGATTGGTAGTCAGTGCACACATTCGTGGCATCGGATCAAACTATTAATGAGAAGCACTATTTGGCCGTCATGCGTCGCTTGAGTGGATTTATTCACAAGGGTTATGGACAAATCCTTGGTTTTCGAATCGCAATGCACATTCTCGCACTGCTTAAGTTCTATGAGATTTTTTAACTAGACATAACTCATAATTGGTATTTACGGCTTAGCTGATTTGCACAAGTCTGACTTATGGTTAGTGACGCAGCGTTCTTATCGAAGAATTGATTTTTTAGATCAAACTAAATGACCGCACCCGATTAACTATTGAACATATCAAGTATTGCCAGGCTAAGAAAAGAAACAATGCTTATTTGCTAAGCCCCTGATTAAAATAAAAAATTTTACAGTCGTCTCATCACAGTGTTACTTGATGAAGCTTGCAATGCACGTTTCTAAATCTTATAAATGTTTAGCAAGTCTACTGTACACCTTGTGGTGGCTATAAAAAAGGCACGTCAAATCATGTTCTCTCTTTAGTTTGTTTACGTAAAAAATAACAATTATACTCACAAAATTAGAAAAATACAAAATTATTCCGTTTCGCTTTGGTTTGGATTTTTTGTTGGCAAAATTTGAATCGCTATGTATGAGAGGTGCTTTGGGAAGAAGAAAAAACAAGACGCAGACAGCGACACAGAATATAGACCTGCGCCTTCAAGACCCCGGAGAGATGACTACTATGATGATCCAAGAAATGCGACTCCCTCCAGGTATGACACTCGCGACCGGTATGATACTCCAACCCCTCGGAGAGATGAATATGGCACTCCCAGGCCGAGGAGAGATGAATATGGCGGTGTGTATGACACACCGAGACATTGGAGAGATGATTACGATGATGCGAGATACGAACGCACCCCAAGAACCCAGACCCCTCCTTCGCCAGCAAGAGATGAAAGAACTCGCACCCCTTTAAGAGCTGAATCCCCTCCACCACGTTGGACTCCATTGAAAGCTGACACTCCAAGAACGCGCACCCCAAGAGATGAATCTCCCTCAAGATATGATATTCAAACGCAGCGTGCACCTACCACACCCCTAAGACCAGAAACTCCCTTGAGAACTGAAACACCGAGAACTCGCACTCCTGCTGCGCCTGTAAGAGCTGAATCTCCCATGAGATACGCATCTCCGCCACCTCGTACACCTGTAAGACATGGAAGTCCCTCGAGAGGTGAAACCCCGCGAACTCGCACCCCTCACTCAGCTCGAAGGGAAGCGTCACCCTTAAGATACGACGCTGTTTCACCTCGCGCACTCCCTACACCACTAGGAGCTGAATCTCCCACAAGATACGCATCTCCGCCACCTCGTACACCTGTAAGACATGGAAGTCCCTCGAGAGGTGAAACCCCGCGAACTCGCACCCCTCACTCAGCTCTAAGGGAAGCTTCACCCTTGAGATATGATGCTGTTTCACCTCGCACACCCCATACACCACTAAGGGCTGAAACTCCGAGGGCTTATACACCCAGCACTCCTTCGAGACCTATAACACCCTTCATCCCCCCTGAGGAGAAACAAGAATGGGGTTTTGCTCTAAAAGAAAAGAGGGACAAAGAAAAGGCTCTGACTGCTGATGAAATTGTACAATTTCAGGAACAATGCTTGCGTGAACACAATAAATACAGAGAACATCACGGTGTTCAGCCCCTAGTGCTAAAAAAACCTTTATGCAGAATCGCCCAAGAATGGGCTGGGGTGAGTTAAAAAATTAAATACGAATTCTAGAGAAATTTCATTGATATTTTATTTAGCATTTGGCTGAGATCGAAACTCTAGATAATCATAAACATTTTTCGTATGGTGAGAATCTATTCCGTGGCAAGGGTACCATATTTACAGCTGAAGATGTGATAAAAAATTGGTACAATGAAGGTGAAAGCTACGATTTTTCCAAACCTGCTTTCCACGATTCAAACAGCCATTTTACACAAATTATATGGAAAGACACTAAATATCTTGGAGTTGGTATTCAAATAGCGTACGTATACTCACAAATACTGTACTATAAAAGTTTTTTCATCTTGAAATGTATTCAACTGTAGTAATAATCACACTTACATCGTATGCAACTACCATCCAGCTGGTAATGTCATCGGAAATTTCGGTGCCCAGGTTTTGCCGATAAAAGCTGTACCGCAGTTGACAGATAAAACTATAACTGATGCAAAAGCTCAAGTTTATCGAGATGAATTTGCGAATGCCTGTCTTGAAGTACACAATAAATATCGTATAAAACATGGCTGCCCTCCTCTTATATTAAGTGCACAACTGAATAAGCACGCCACCGAGTGGGCACAGGTAAGAAGTTAATAAAATCAATCAATAATTCAAGGAAGACTTTTACGATCCTATTTCCAATAGTCCTTAAGAGAATGTCTTAAAAAAAAATAAAACGAGTACTCACAAAATCTATATATTTATATATCTGTATATATATATATATATATATAAATATATTTATATATATGTACATATATATATATATATAAATATATATATAATAATCTAATGTCGGGAGTGTACAAGTTACATGTCATGCAGCTTGCCTTTCTTGCCTTACGGACAAAAAACAAGTCGAGTTATATTCGGCGCATTCTACTCTCCAAGTTCTTTCATTTGACTATTATTAGCAAAAATTAATCCACTAAGTCACGGTGTCTCCCTTCTTCACTTTAAAACTAACCCATTTTCAGGCAGATCTCATTTGCGGAATGTAGAAAATAGTTTTAAGCATTCTGTCTTGTTAATAAAAGCTTAAAAATCTTGTCTCATATAAATCCTATATTGGATCTATTCCTTTCTGCCTTTTCTATAGCTTACTCTTTTAAAAAAATATTTCCGATATCTTCTTTTATGAGAGAAGGAGAATATTTTAATTGTCAATCATTCCGAAACAAGAATTATTAACTAACATCGCAAACGCAGTTGGAACAACTTATTACTCCAATTTTTTTCATATAACATTATATAAGAGGACTAATTTATTTATACGATTTTTTTCACTAGATAAATCAATATACTTTTTATTTTTTCGCCCTATATACGCTAACAGCATTTAGCTAAAATTGGCACTTTAGAACATCGTCCGAATGATAAGTACGGTCAAAATCTTTTCATGGCTACTAATTACGACCCCAGCGCGGAAGAAGTGATTAAAGATTGGTATGAAGAAATCGATCAATTCGATTTCAACAATCCGACTTTTACTCCGGATACCGGCAATTTTACGCAGCTAATGTGGAAAGGCACCAAGGAATTGGGCGTGGGCATTGAAAAAGTGTAAAATAACTGTAAAGACTCTTTAAAAAAGAATACTTAATCATTTAGATATTTATTTTATATATATATATATATATATATAGAGGAGCTACAACAATTCTTATATGCAGTTATCACCCGCATGGTAATGTTATGGGAAGATTTAAGGAGAATGTCCCACCATTAAAAACAAAATTAGAATACGGTATAAAGACGCCAAGCGAGACAAGTATAGAAGAAGAGGTGCTTGCTAAAGAAGAGAAACCGGCAGAGCCTCCGGCAGCAATACCGGCAGACTCTTTTGAAGACGAATGTCTGAAAAGTCATAATAAATATCGGGATATGCATGGTTGCCCTCCCTTAGTGTTAAACAAAGAACTAAATACTTATGCTACAGAGTGGGCTGAGGTAAAAGCTTTGCCAGTGTGATTTTGTTTTTTTTTCTCCTTTGCTGTTTCATTAATCTCTTGATCTCAGCATTTAGCCCGAACGGATAAATTTGAACATCGTACTAACAACCGTTATGGTGAAAACCTTTACTACATGAGCGGCTCATTTACACCGACGCCTGAAGATGCAGTTAAAGCTTGGTATGATGAAATTTCAATGTATAATTACAAAAAACCTGGATTTCATTCGAGCACCGGCCACTTTACTCAAGTAGTTTGGAAGAAAACTAAACAGCTAGGTGTTGGAAGAGCTACCAAGTAAATCTTATACCAACAACCCATAAAAATGAATGAAAAAAGCTAAATAATCTTTTTTCTCCTGTTTAGGGATCGTACGACTGTTGTCGTCTGCAATTATGAACCACATGGTAACGTTATTGATCATTTTGCCGAAAATGTCCCACAAGTGGGTGGTACAATTTTAAAAGAAGAGCAGCCTATAAAGAAACCAGAAGATATAGCGCGAGAAGCTTCACAATTTGAGGAGCAATGTCTAAAAGTTCACAATAAATACAGAGCATTACATGGCGTCCCCCCTTTAAAATTGAACAAAAAGCTGACCGCTTACGCTGCGGAGTGGGCAACGGTACAGCTTCGAATTTTCTCTTTAACCCCCAGAAAATCTCGCGATTACTTTGGTACTATTAGACTGGTTTTCGCATGTCCGTGTCTGTGCCCATGTCCTCGCGACAACATGTTAAATTTTAAGAAGGACTGACATCAAGATCATCGCCTTACATCAATAAAGTCGAAAATGTTACAACATTTATTTTAAAAACTTGAGTAAAAGTAACTTTTGACACGGCTGCGTCTGAAAAGACAATCACTTTTAAAATTTCCGTGCGGAACATCTTTGTCACGTGCCTATTGAAAAAAAGCAAAAAACTACCCAAAAGCTTAAGATATTTTGGTGAAGATCAGCTTCAAATTCGCTTTAACCATCCGACCAAGAATCACAACCGATCAAAACTTTATTGACCGTCTGTCTGTCTTGTTTTCCTGTGGTGTTCAGCTTACAGCTCGCAATTTTTGAAATGTATTTGTTTTATCAAAATAAACTTCATTCAGAACGTAAACAACTTGGTAAACAGGAGGTTGGTTGACATTCTTTGACCGACATGTTTTGGCCGAAGAAAGAACGTTATTGAAGATGACTCGGTTCCGATCACTTCTTCTATCATTCCACATAGAAAGCCTTATTTTGGCAAGCCGTTATATAGATAACTATGGATAACATTAAGCGAAATAGTGTAGGGTATTTAACGCTGCGTTTCGTCCCACTATAATGTTCTCATAAGTTTACTTTATTTTATGATTTGTAAATATGTTTTTTATTGAAATTTAAGACCTTGGCCAGAACAAACAGTTGCAAGAATCGTAATTCTGATTATGGCGAAAATATTTATTGTATGACCGGCGGAAAAGCAACTGCCGAACAGGTGGTCACTTCGTGGTATGAGCAAATCAAAAATTACAATTTTAAAAAGCCAGGATTTTCTGGCAATACCGGCCAGTTTACGCAAGTCGTTTGGAAGGATTGTAAAGAATTAGGAGCAGCTAAACATGTTTCGTAAGTTTTGAAAGAAACGAAAAATCTACAGACATAATTTTTCTTCTCTTTCTTTCATTTATATAGAGGCAACAGCACATATGTTGTGTGCTTTTATGATCCTTCTGGTAACTATACAAATCAGTTTCCAGCTAACGTATTACCACCTATACGCTAAACAAAATGATGTACCAATTAAGAACCTTCCAACAGGCCGATCCGAACACAGTTGTGGACTAAGCGTTTGGACAAGTCTTGTAAATATTTGTATCAAGATTTCAAATTTTTTTTTATTTATATTTATATGCCGACCTTATATATAAGTTTTATATGCATTTTTGCAGCTTTGAGAATAGTACCGAGAAACATCTTACGGACATGATTAAATAGACTTTGAGTATTAGGGTGATCGAAACCACATTGTCTGACAATTTGCAAGAGGTGTTTGAAAAGTCAATAGCTTCATAATAAATGCAATTGACGCTGCTTTTATTTCGCTATAATGTTGAACTAGAAAAGCAGTCTGCGCTTTTATTTCAATTAGCAAAAGATATGTAATTCCTTAAGTTACTTGCGTAGATGAAATTACCCGCAGGCAAAATTTTAGAAAAGAGACAATGAGGAGAGGCTTAGAACACCTTCATCCCTAATGGTTATCTTCTTACTCCGGAACACGGTAAGAATACCGTCAAAAACTTTACTATATTTTGGCTTCACCAATTCCACTATACATAGTTTTCATGTGAATATTTCGATTACATCACTGAAGGATGAGGGGCTTATCAATTTTGGGAAAACGTTTGCAATGTCGAGAAGGAAGCTTCAGAGACCACACATAGTGTATATATTTTTGATCAGTGTCAAGCTCTAAATTGATTCAAGCATGAACGCCTGTCCGTCTGTGCAATGCAAGTTGTGAACCTTCTCCTGGCCGCAAAACTGACGCCATCGACTTCAAGGTTCGCAGAAACATTGGAAGTTCTTGCACACATGTTGAACATGGGCCAATATGGTCGATGGCACGCCTACAATACTATTCAATAGTAGAATGTATCAAAATTAATTTTTTTTCAATACCTTCATAACACGCAGAATCAAACTTCAAAAGCCCCATAAAGAAAATATAAATTTGGAATGCATTTGAGAACGTCAATCTGCTCGTTTGTCCATCTGTCCGTGTGTCTAAGTATGTAGAGTCTGTGGTAAACATCGTTCGACAAAAAGTAGATATCGCCCATAACTTTGCACAAGAATTCGGAAGTGACACAAGCTTTTCAAGGGACACGCCTACAACGCCAACACGCCTATACGGCAAAAACTTTTATTTTGAAAATAAAAAAATCAACCCCGCCCATTCTTCAGTATAAAGAAAATTTAGCTCTTTTACTTTTTTTGTCGTTTTTAGGATAACGGTGAGGAATATAAAAAATTCGGTCACGACCGAATATAATTTTCTTACTTGTTTCTTCTTCCCCCGACAATTACAAATATGCAGCATTGTATTAGTTGATCTAATTGTTTTCTCTTCGACAGCGTTAACAAATGATATCATTTGTTTCGATTAAATTGAAGACCCGATGGAGGAAATGTCAAACAGCGCGTTGTTCTTGGCACGTGAACCAATCCAAAGTTTATTGGCTATCTCAACGTAATACGAAATCAAAAGTTTATTGTTATATCGCATTTGTCTAACTAGAATCCTCAGGAAGAAACTCAGTAATAAATATGTGCGCACTTTTCATATTAATCCAAAGTTGTTTTTATTTTGTATGTAATGATATTTTAAGTTCCAATAGTGAACTCCAATAGTAAAATATTAATTGCTATAATTTCTGTAAAATGCATCCTAAAATATTTTGTAGATGACGATTGCTAAGACCTCACCTTAACTCAATTACTTGTGCATACAACTCGGCAAACTCCATGAATGTTCGAAACGGAAAATATATTGATAGGTAAGCACACTCGTAGAACGAGAATAGGCGCTATCGGTAACACAAATATTTCCTTCAAAGTATATCAAAACAAAACACCGAAGATTACTTAAATTAAAAAAAAAAAAACAACAATGCATAACAAACAAATCAAATATGTAATTACCAATGTAAGTACGCAGGTAAACAAAAAAAAAATAAAACTATGAATATTCAAGCTGACATAGTTTATTGACTACCGTACGCGCGACCAGAAAAGGGAAATCCAATAGTTTTTTCAGATCGCTTAGCTACTTTACCTAGAGCCTATAAGGATTATTTTTTACGGAACCTAAGAAGAATATTTCTCCGTCTGTTCGCTACAATGCTTTGGAACGACAATCAGCACATATATTAACAGAAGAAGTCGATATGGGAAACTATTATTTTCATTGATCTTATTAAAATATATGCGTTCAAGAAATCTAGAAAACTCAGCAAGAAAATGTAGAACTTTTCCTATTAAAAGCTTACGAATTATGACGCATATTGAATCAAATGCAAGTAGCATAAATGTCTTCCAGCGTCATCTAGTCGAGGGGCTACGGCGAAGGAGTTCACAGTGAAAATTTTCTGCGTAAGTAGGCGAGAATGGCAAACATCAAGTTTAATATTCGCGGTTTCAAATCTCAGCTTCCGGAAGAGTTTACTTTCAGCTATAGTGAATCCTCAGTCGATAAAGGCAGAAGACCTACTTGCACACACCTACTTGGCCGCGGATACTTCTTCCTAACCATTGTGTAACGCCAATAGGTGCATTCCTTGATTGATTGGGTCATATTAAAATAAATAAAAATAAAAAATCCTCTGCTTGTGAAGCGACACCTATCCAATGTGTTTGTATTGTACGAATATAAATTTCCTCATTTTTCTGCATCTAGCCTTGAGTGAATCGCGTTCGCTTACTAGCTACTTTATATTCTTCATTTATTTATGGATCAAAAAAATACTCAAATCCACATGTTTTTAACCCGGACTACGCGGATTTTCTCGCATTATTTTGGACTGTAAGCCCCAAAACCTATGTTTAAAGCATTTACTTCCCCTATCTCGGGGAGTCGCAACAATGGAGAGGCAGAAGATGCATTAGACTGACGCATATTTGTACTACGCACTACAACGATTCAGAGTTTTCAGAATTAAAGCGAAAAGCTAAGTAAATTAGTTTGACAGGAATAGTGGAGACTTTTCACGTCCGTCTTTTTTCTAACTACAGTGTTAGAAGACCTGTAAAGGGGCAATTTTATTTATTTGCTATTTATTTTTTTTTTTGTTTCTCAAGACTGAATGACCAATAAGGAATGTGGCTTATTGTGGCTGTCAATTTAAAAAGAATCGTATAGAAATCGTGAAGGAAAAATTTTGATTTTTAGCAATTTTTGTTTCTGTGACTGAAGAGTTGGTGTTCAAAGGGATGTTCTGCATTTTTTTTTAGCTGTTTAGGAAAATAAAATCCATTATGCTAGCTTGCAGCTTTCCTGCTTTGAGCACATCAACTACCCTTCGACCGCGACAAAACTTTCAATAAACAAAGCAAGGGCGGCAATCCGATGATGTACTAATCACACTAATGCGGATGCTACGAAAGCAATGACGATACCAACGTAATTCAACCAATGGTAATTTAATGGTAAACACTAAAATGCCTCACTTATCAATAAATATAGATAATAAAACGCAATGAATTAATTATTATATATAAACTATGAGTTTAAAAAGATGTTTTAAAATACATTTTGAAATTCAGATAATTGTAATCAATTGACAGTTGTACTGTGCTACATTATTGACAAAACAATGTTGTCTTTTGAATTTGCTTGTACGAAAAAAAATAATAAAAGATAAAAAAAATTAGAAATTAGAAATATACAAAAATTGGTCCCTTTCTTACATTTTTTTCGGCAAAATACTAAATTTTAAATTCTATGTTATACTGGGAATCTGACCAAATTGAGCTCAATGAAAACGACGGAGACGATTTCGTGCCAATTGTCCAAGCAGTCCAAACTCCGTCCTCGTGGCCCAACTTAGACGAGGTATCTTCTGCGCGCTCAAGAGCTGGAACTATACCTGATCTAGACAGCGTTGCAGATATGCTGACAAAAATGAAAATTGATGGGTATGCTCAATCCTTCGCAGGAATGGTTTTTGTATATTAAAATATTCCGTTTTTATTCCTTGCTGTTATTTTTACAGATGTTCCGTTGCAATCCCACCAGCTTCCTGTCGCCCTGGCAAGCCAATAGTCGTTCCACCAAATACGCCACAAGGTTATAGCTCAGCAGTCCCATCACGCAATCAGCGAATCTTTGAACAGTCCAATCCCACAACGCTCTTATCGCCCAAAAAATCAGTTCCCAGAACGTCCGGTCGAACAACTGGTCCACTCCCACGTAATCTTCTAGTGGTCACGAACCGTCCGGTGGGCCCGTCGTGCAGTCGGCCAACGTCCGGTACTGCAATGGCCCCAACGCCCAGTAATATAATTTCGATATCGTGCTGCTGCCCAACGTCCCGTCAGCGAATTGCTACATCGTCCAGTTACGTAATGGCGCCTTCGTCAGCTCATCGAATAGCCACATCGGTCAATCGTCCAACCGCTACATCATCCAATCGTTCAAGCAAATCACCATTTTATTGTTCAAACGTACCACCCCAGTCCCCAAATTCAGAATTAAGATCTCTTAAGAGAAAAGAGATCGCTATCACTGCTGAGGAACTTCGTCAATTTCGACAGAATTGTCTAGAGGAACATAATAAAAGGCGAAAACAGCATGGCGTTCAGCCTCTAGTGCTCGAAAAATCATTGTGCCAGATTGCCCAAGAGTGGGCGGAAGTTAGTAAAAGTATTAAATATTAACTTGGAACACCCTAAAAGATATTACTTTTAGCATTTAGGTGAAATCGAAACACTAGAGCACCAAAAGCATTCACCTTACGGCGAAAATCTCTTCCATACCGTTGGTACGACACTTACTGCAGAAGAGATGTTGACAGATTGGTACAATGAAAGTGAAAACTACAACTTTTCTAAGCCTGGTTTCACCGACTTAACCAATCATTTCACCCAGATCATATGGAAGGATACGAAATTTCTTGGAGTAGGAATGATGAAAACGTAAGTATTTATAAAATTTATGAAGAAATGGCAACTGGAGTCCGTTATTTATTGACTTGCAGAGATAACCATACTTGGATTGTATGCAATTACGAACCACGGGGCAATATTATTGGTAAGTTTGGGGACCAAGTTCAGCACCTAAGAAACGCACCGTCATTAACCGATGAAGACTTAACTGAAGCACAAGCCAAGGTTTACCGAGATGAGTTTGCGAATGCGTGCTTGGAAGTGCACAATAACTATCGTTCCAAACACGGATGTCCACCTCTGAAATTGAGTGCGCAATTGAATAAATATGCTAACGATTGGGCACAGGTAACAATTTAAAAAAGCAGTCCACGAAAAATTTGTACTCTTGCTTCCTTCCAAAGAAATATTTATAATATTAAAAATACATTTAGCTTTCGTAAATCTTCTTCTAAGATGATTAGTGAAGAGAACCTCCTACCCCTAACGCAGGACTTAGTCGTCTTGCAAAGGTGATATGCAATTGTATTGTAGAGAGAAATACCTACCGCCGTCCCTGTCTTTACTTATTTTCAGTACTGTGCGGTGGCATATACAAGGCGATTGCCGTATTGACAACCCTTTTTGAACATGTTCTCCATCCTCAGTTCATTGATAATTGGCTGCTTTCTCTTGTATTTGTACTGTTATGAACCGGTCACTCCCCAACATTTACTTTGGTCAGCTTGTGGGGGTGAATAGAATAATCAGAAGGACTTGAGATACCTTTTATTATAGCGATTGATTCGAGAAGTTATGCTCAGTTTCGAAGCCTTTTTACCCATCTGTCCGTCTTGTTTTCTCGGGTTCAACCTACGGGCCGCAATTTTTGAAATATTTTGATGAAGTTTCGTATACTGACATATCTTGGACCGCGCGCGAATGCTATTGGGATTGGTTCGAATAGGACCACCTTCCGATACCTTCCCATATAACGTCTTATAGCCAAAATTGTAATATAAACAACTGTAGGATAGTGGCGTACTTTCCAACTAATTTTTTAACCTAGATTATTAACATATTCTTTAACTATCCATGCAGCAATTAGCTAAAGTCGGTACCTTAGAACATCGTCCAAACGATAAATATGGTCAAAATCTTTTCATGGCTTCCAACTATGATCCGAGTGCTGAGGAAGTGGTGAAAGATTGGTATTCAGAGATAAAAGGTTATGACTTTAAAAGACCTGATTTTAGCACAGATACCGGCAATTTTACGCAGTTAATATGGAAAAACACTCGAGAACTAGGTGTGGGCATACAAAAAATGTAAAAATCTTTATATTAACTCATCGAAAAGAAATAGTTAATGAAAAGTTTATATATTTCGTATTTATATAGCGGTGCAACAGCTTATATAGTATGTCATTATCACCCCCAAGGTAATCTTATTGGAGAGTTTAGGGAAAATGTACCGCCACTAAACAAAGAATTAGAGCACGACTTGAGAACGCCAAGCGACACAAGTATAGAGGATCAACAATTAGCCACTGGAGGAGAAGAGTCGTCTAAGCCTCGTTCTGGTAGTAGTCTCTCGAGTATGTCTTTTGATGAGCAATGCTTGAACAGTCATAATAAATATCGATCTATGCACGGCTGCCCGCCGTTAGTGTTAAACGATGAATTAAGCACTTACGCTACAGAGTGGGCTCAGGTAAAGGATCCTTTACTTTACTTATATTTTGTTTCTCTATTTTACTCTTGACTATATATTATTTTGTTAGCATTTAGCTCGATCAGGTAAATTCGAACATCGTTCTAATAATCGTTATGGAGAGAATCTGTTCTACGGCAGCGGTTATGTGGTCACTGGTAACGATCCTGTTAAATCCTGGTACGGAGAAATTAACAACTACAATTTTAAAAGGCCAGGGTTTCATCAAACTACTGGTCATTTTACTCAATTAATTTGGAAAAAAACTAAACAACTAGGGGTTGGAGTAGCTGTCGAGTAAGTCGGATAGTAGCAGTTCGAAAAAATGTTCATATTAACAAAAAAATGTTCTCTTGTTTAGAGGTCGTGTTACATTTGTTGTCTGTAATTATGAACCGCACGGTAATGTTGTAGATCACTTTGCCGAAAACGTACCGCAATTGCTTAGTGCATTCCTAAAGGACGAGAAAAGTTTACTTAGAACAGAACATATATTGCAAAATCTTACTTACCACGTATGCAATGTTTCTGTTCCTACTGCTCAACCTCAGCTTAAATCTACAGAAATCCGAGAATTTGAAGAAGATTGCCTAAGGGCCCATAACAAGTTCAGGGCAATGCATGGTTCTCCCCCTTTAAAATTGAACAGGAATCTGTGCACATTCGCTGCCGAATGGGCAAAGGTAAAATTTTGTCTTCGTAACAGTAGACCGACACTGGATTACATAAATTATGTTGTTTCTGTTAATCACAAATTCATATTTAAGGTTATTGTTTTATATAGATGTAATTTTAGAAGAATCTGTCCACCCGTGTTTTGTTAGGTGTTAATACACAACATTTTAATCGTAGTTTATTACAATTGTTGCGATTTAAAGTGGAGAATAAAGACGCATATAAATCTGTTAAAATGAGGAAAGAAACGGCAAATTAGCCGTGAATAACTTTGCAGCTATATAATTCTAAGTAAAAGTAGCATTGGTAGATCCCTATACAATTAAAATACAATGCAATTAATTGATTTCTAAGATTTAGTCAAATCGTTTCTCTCCAATCGTATGTCACGTTGTAGAAAATCGGAAATATAAAAACTAAAAATATCATACGCCCTTAAATACCCTACACACTCCACCTGATACAATTACTAGTTCCTCGCACTGATAGGATATTAAAAATTTTACTTTGTTTTTAGATAAACGAGATATTTTTCCTTATATTAGAACGTGCTCAAAAACATGTGCACACGGGGTCGAAATTTAGCAAACGTCGTTTTTATTTAGAAGATTTTATTATTCCTCACCTACTTTCATCATAAAAAACTACAAATTATACATGGTTGCATATAAGGGCGAACTTTTGTATGTGATGGGGTCCAAAATAATAGATCTATGTCATATAAATTTATCACAGTTACTTTTTATGCAAAATTACTATTGTGGACCAATTTTCAATTAAACCCTTTTTTGCAAACGTTTATATGGAACGGGGTCAAAAAAAATAGCCCACTGTATTCAATCAATTGACCGATCTTCAGCATTATTATAAATTATTCTTTTTTTGAAATACGAAGCTTTAGTCCCCATTGGAAGAATGTTCAAACATTTCACGTCAATTTAGAATGCGGAAATGTTATTACTCAGCAATTTTTGTCGAGAAAATTGGAAGCTTGCAAACTTTTTCAAAATAATCTTTTATATGAGAATTGGTCACGCAAAATTGGTCTGATCAAGACGTGTTGGATATTATTCAGATTCCGTACTTGGCCTAAAGTGCGCCAATGTACAGAATTTGCACAAAATACCTCAGCAATAGCGACTTGCAGATTGAACACAAAAATACAAGAAGAAATATCAGGCGGACGTGCGGATAGGCAAGCTCATATTGATTCAAAATACAATTGTAATCTGTATAATAAGAGATGATGAGTCTATTTTACGTGCTCCCGTTCTATATATGCATCCGTACAAACTTAATGTAGCTTACATCACAAGTAGTACAAAGTGCAGTAATTAAATGAAATCTTAAAAAGTTGTTGATGACCGAATACTCCTATTGATATGAATTAAGGTCTTTTGTTTACTTAAATACTTCTAATTATTAAAGGAATTAGCAAAGAAAAAATCATTTGAGCACCGTCCCAACAACAAGTATGGTGAAAACTTATACTTTGGTTCCGGCTTTAAGATATCCGCGGAAGACGCAGTACGTACCTGGTATAATGAAATACATGATTACAATTTTAAGAAGCCGGTGTTTCATCCAGACATCGGCCATTTTACGCAGCTAATATGGAAAAGTAGTAAAGAATTGGGTGTGGCTCTTCATATCGCGTAAGTTATTCAGAACAGCGAAGGTTTTTATTGATTGTTAAATTTTCCCCCTTTTCTATTCATTTAGTAACACAACGACATATGTAGTTTGCAATTACGATCCACCTGGTAATATTATGGGCCAGTTTGATGTTAACGTACCATTACCGTTGAGTGATAAGGGGGCAGCTCCTTCTTCTTCTAAACAGGCTCCAGAAAGACAAGGGGTAATTGCTTCCTCGGACAATTTTGTTCAACGTATACTTGATTTACATAATGAATATCGTGCCAAGCATAATTGTCCACCTTTACAACTCGATAAAAATTTGACCACCTACGCAATGGATTGGGCAAAAGCAAGTGTACTTTTTTTAATTTTTCATATTTTAATATCTTTACAATTAACTTGAATGTATTCTGAACAGCATTTGGCTACTACCAACACTTTAGTGCATCGAAATCCTCAGGAATATGGTGAAAATATATTCAAAGCAACTGGTTGGGATATAACAGCTGAGGAAGTTATGAAAACTTGGTACGATGAAGAAAAACAATACAAGTACACTGACGCAAAATTTTCAGCAATGTGCGGGCATTTCACTCAAATTGTTTGGAAAGATTCTAAGTTATTAGGAGTGGGTGCAGCTGTGCGGTAATTATTTTTGAATTGATTGAACGTTTTAAAAATTTTTCATATTGAATGCAAATCCTTTTCTAATATATTCGCTAGAGATAAATCTACTTATGTTGTTTGCAATTACGATCCACCTGGAAATTTTAGAAACGAGTATAAACAGAATGTTCCGCCCCCGACGAGGACCAACTAAACATAAACTCTTGTAAAATTGAAAAGTATTAGAAGGAAAAAATTATCTTCCCAGCTCGTGTTGCCTTGAAACCAAAAAAGATTAAATACATTCACACATAAAATAATCGCTTCATATTCGAGCTTTTGAAGACAACATAAACGTGATCCATAGTTGCTAAACACACCTTTTACCGAAAGTCATAATAAAAGTATTACCGTCACCAAACTCATATTAAACAAAACTTCTCGCTTTTGTTTACACATTCATTTCGTTTACTCTTTCATCGATTGCATCAAAATGTACATACGTTCAAAGTGTGCAAACGAATTTCTCTTGGTCGTACGCCATTTTGGACGTATGAAAATAAAACGTTGATGTTTGTACGATATAAGGTTTAGCTGTTTACAAACGTGTAGTAAGATGTAAAGAGATGGATATCAGCAAGGAGCATTTACGGCATTCGATGTCATTCTGTCTTAAATTGGAGTAAAAGTTGAAACGTTCTTCAGGAGATGTCTGCAGCTTCGCAAATAGTGTTCAAAGCTTACTAGACGAGGACTTGGCAATACTTCAAAAAGAACTTACTTTATAGTTAGGACTAAGACAGCAGGCAAACTCAATTGGAATGAGTACTATGAGAGAGACACGGAGGAAGTAAAATGAGTTCCTCCTAAGCTAACCGAAGAGAACAATCGTAAGGTTAAGATTTGCTATAGCACGCAAGGAAGTGATCTCTAACTTGGGCTTGGAACTTTGCCCGATTGCGATTTATTTTCTGTACCTCGCTCTTACTGATTATCACTTGTTCAGATAGATAAAATCATATTTAGCACATTAGCGATTCACAAATTTGAAGTTGTGCGAAAATTTATCCGCCTCGAAGTCTTTAAGGCGGTGCTTAAGCTACTCGAGAAGGGGCAAAAATCCCCAAGTAGTAACGAGAAATATTTCGGTTATTTTAGGTAAGCATCAGTTTTACCAAAAAATAGGGACAATTTATGTCCACATCTAATATATAAACTTTGGATATCCACTGTCTGTGAATATCACTTATGTTTCCTGTTGTGTTATGTTCACGGATCACAAAAGAATTTTATCCCTTAAAGTATAATTGTAATAGGATTTTAAATTGATGCCTGCGTCTAATATGTGTGGGGTGAATGGAAATGCTTAGAACTTTTCAACAGTCGCCACCCTCTACCGCTGAGTGAGAAGTAGATATGTTAGATTTACCTCGCTGTTGTTTCAATAAACATAAATATTTTCTTAATGGATCAAATCTCTTATAAAACTATCGGCTTAGACATGTCCTTGTGCATGTCATCCCAGCACACCATATTTCGTGTTTTGGTCGTAAAAATAGAAAATAGAAGAAACTTATATTCGCCTTATGGCAATTATCTTGGACTCCCCTTCGTACGATTCTCTATTCTATGCTCTTGTCAATCATTCAATTCTCCCATTTGGATTTTTGGTTGGCGTTAGCAAATATTACCTTCAAGCTTTGGACTTGTCTTTGCCCGACATATTAGTTGAAGTTTTTTGACTTTTATAGTTTTAACCGAAATTTCCTTTTCTTTGAAAAACAAGGGTGATCTCAGTTTATGCAGCAGTGTAGGCGTGACTTGCCTATTTTCAATACCAACTTGCGTGGAAGAACTTCCAATGTTTCTTGCAAATTTGAAATCATTAGCTTCATTTTTGCGGTCAGGAGATTGCGTACAGAAAACATTGCACAGACGGACAGAAAGACATGCCTAAATCGATTTAGAATTTGATCAAGAATATATTACCTTGTTTGGTGTCTGGTTTTTCAACCTGGGAGCGTTTTGAGAAAACGGATATACTCGTCATCCGTTAGGGAAGGGTAAAGGCTTGTGGGTAAAATTTTAAAAGATTTTAAATTTTAGCTATTGTGAGATGTGAATATTAATTAAGAAAACTTGAGACTTTTTGAAACCTTTCGAACGACTACATGGACGCACTAAGTAAGCGAAAAAAAATTCTGACAAAAATGGAGGCAACGCAATAATCATATAGAAATAAATACATTAGCCCCATAAAGTCTACATACAGTACGAAAAAATAAGGTTTTTCTTTCGAGCAAATGAACCCTCAGCAGGATATCGATTCGAAGCAAATATCTCTCATTCTAATGGAGTGTTCAGTTTACAACGTCCCCAAACAATTACATTCTTCTCCACAATTACCGTATTTGAATAACATGCCGGATTCGAAAAAATAAAATTTTTAACATGGAGGACTACTTGTGGCATGGAACAAAATTGGTACACATGTAGCGGAAGGATTGATATCTTTAATGCCACAAGGCCAGCAAGCAGTAGTATATGCTGAAGACGATCCAGCAAAATATTAGTTCTTTAATTTCATCCGCAAATAATATAATGGGCTGCCTGTGAAATAAGCTGTATGTACACTTTTTTGTGCTCTTTTTTGGGATTGAATATTTAATATAAGTTTTTTAAGAAATATATTTTTTGATCCAAAACCTATAAATGCAATTTTTAATAAGAGAAAACTTAATTTTTTTTACTCTATGTAGACTTTATTGAATCACTGTAAATGTGCGTGTGTGTTGAAAAGCGTATACTCGATCTACAACAGGGAAAGTTGCGTTTGTGCAAAGCAATTTTGTCGGGAATTTATTTATCTTTAATTATCCATCGGTTTCACTCATCCTACTTTCCTTCAACTAGCGAAATTTATTAAAGAAATGGCTATAAAATGAGCAAGAGCGCCTCCTATAAAGAAAGTTACATAAAAAATTCTCAAATTTCATTACCTTACATACATACCTTTATATAGCAACAAAAATGCACTTACTCAAAATCAACAAGTTTTAAAAACGCTGAATACGGACTTAATTCATTTGTTCGTTTCTTTGCCGTTAGTAAAAACGGACGGCAGACAAAGAACGCTTTTTTCATTCAGCTGACCGCAGAGGCTCGTTGCTAGGTTATCGATGTCTTTTACTCGTTATACCCTACGCCACTTATGAAACGGGGTATATTAAGTTTGTGCGGCCATTTGCTATATGTAGAAGGGCTTAAAATAGACCTACCTTTTATTATACTGATCGATTCAGAATCATTGCGTCTGCCCATGTAAAGTTGTGTTCAATTCTTGGGATATTTTGATGAAATTTGTTACAGTGAAGTGTTTTGACCCAAAGGCAATTAAAAATGGGTCCGATCAGCCTACATCTTCGACTACTCCCCATATAACCCCCTATTCTAAGAAATCATTATATGAAAAAAATTGTATTTTTCAAAATTTCTCGACAGAAACGACTAAGTAGTAGTATTTCGGCATTCTAAATTCTGAAATATGAGCACTTTAGACGGCCTGAGGAGATTTTTGAAAGCCCTCTCATATAATGAAAACTGAAGTTCATGCGACAAAAAGCTATAATTTTAAGTGCTTCAAGAAAAGACTAAGTTTTAATAAGTGGTGATCGTTATAATATAGTTATAGTTATAGTAATTTCATACAAAAATGAACTCTACAAAATTTAGATCTTTTACATATAGTTCCTCATCTATGTAAGGATTAAAGTTGTACCACATTTGGTTGCGTTTTGGATCCGCTTTCCCATAAACACGCATTTAAAAAATATGCCTTTATATTGGAACAAGACATAATTGTGTTAGCCTACGCGGTGTAGGGTATTTAACGGTCGGCCTTGCTCGACTATAATGTTCTTGCATGTTTTATGTTCGTATTCATTTGATAAGTTATGATGCATTCGAAAAACACAAAAGAAAAACATTTGCCGGAGGCTGGAAAACATCATCGTACAGTATCATTAACATGATCAGCATATGTTGCATGCATCGCTCTGTTCTGCTTTGTCTTTATACAATTAATTAAACTCCGTGATATAGGATAAATTGAAATGCGAGCAACAAAACGGATTCTGACTGCGCAGCGCTGCAGTCATTTTTTTTTTTGTGCAACCAACACTTCTCTTAGGTGAACTTACATGAACGCGTCCGTTGATTGCTTGCAGCCTTATGTAGTCAAATACGAGTATGCACATGCCCGTGGTGCTTTTATCATCACCATCACCGTCACCGTCACCGTCATCATTATCATCATTTTTTTAGCAACAGCCCGGTTTGCGGATAATACGCAAGCACTATGTTGATTATGTGTATGTTTGCACAAGGATGAGAATGTGTTAGTGCATAATTTCTTTTTTTCTTCCCTTTTCTTTTCTTCTTTTTTTATCTTTGTTTGTTAGTTAATGTTAGGCCAATGTTTATATGCATATTCACATGTATATAGGCATGGCTTGACTTTCATGTGTAAATATAGTTAAATATTTCAAAGAACAGTTTCAGCGATTTTCATACATATTCAGCATTTTTGTCTGCGCTATGCATACAGGAATGCATGTTCTTCAAAACGGTTTCTTATAATTTCTGCATCACTTTTTATTTTCCTTTAACTATTAAATAGAAATAAATGAAATGCAACAAAGTTATATTAGTTACGCTATTTAACACTGAATTAATTAATTTTTTTTTGCATTTTTATTGATCGGCGGTCGTAAAATTAGTGCTTGTGTTTTGCCTGTCCACGTTTTAGTCACTTGGTATCAAATAACGTGTTCCGAAACAAAAGTGACAATAATAAAATTCTTCAATATCAATTTTGCACTAACACAAGCTTCTTAGTTTATGAAAATCATAAATGAAGGTGTAAAATAAGACGCAAGTAGAAGGCCGCTCAGAATAAGGCGGATAGCCATAACTCATCCACAACAAGTAATAAAGATGCATTGAGATATTCGTCAGGGTTATGAAAAACTTTCGCTTAACAAGTGTGTTGGTGAAGGCAATTGTTAGGGTCATCACATAGTTCCATTAGCAAACGGCGTTAATCGTTTTACTATGTCCACCATAACATACTATAGACAAGCCTGCAGTCATACATATGGGTGTTTCAACAATTTCAATAGGTGAACTTTGAGAAATCTGTCAATCTCTCCCTAGAAACTCTTAACTTGCTGTTCAATGGCTTAGCAGCTTTTTTTAATGTCGACTGTTGATTGTTAATGACATAATTTTGCTAATCAAACATATTATATTGTTAGGAAAATCTCGCAAATTCTTAGTTCATTTTTTATGAAAACTAGCTGATCTTCTAAGAAATCAAA